TGATGGTTGTGGTAGTTCTGCACGTTTCAGCTCCATACAGTAGAACTGTCTTGACGTTCGTATTGAATGTTCTCATTTTGATATTGTTTGACAGTTGCTTTGAATCACATATGTTCTCCAACTGTAGGATCACTGCACTTGACTCTCCGATCCTCGCTTTCACATCTGCATTAGATCCCTCGTGTTTGCCGATGATGTTGACCAGGAATGTGAAAGTTTCCACATGTTCCAGAGATTCTCCATCACGTGTGATTGGATTGGTGCTCACTATGTTATATTTCAGGATCTCGATTTCTCTCTTGTATTTGTTGAAACCTACTGATGTAGAGTGTGCCGCTTCACTGACTGTCTTCATCTATATTTGTTGTTGTATATGGGATAGAAGATGTAGTTCATCTGTGAAGTTCAAATTTTGTAGTTGCATGCAAGCTGTTCATTGAATTCCCTGCTTCCGACCAGATGTGGAGGTCTTCGTAATTCAGTCAATCATCAGAAGAAAGATAAAATGATAGAGGAAGCAGCCTTTAGTAAAGTTACTAAAATCGTTTAAATGTTCAAGAATGGTAATTCTGACTGTTTTGCTCTGACTTTTATAGAATCACACTGGGACATGTTCTCGTATCTGAGTTGAAAGCAAGTTCTGACCATGGCCTATGTACATTGTTTTATAAGAGCAGATGAGTTGATATATACTCACAGAGGTGATCAGTTGCGTGAGTTTATCGTTTATTGATACAGAAGACGAGTTTTTACTAGTCAGCATTAGTCCCAGCTTTGCTGCATAGAATGTTATTTTAATTATTGCGGTTAACCAATTTTTAATTACATCAGAAGTTTGGTCACCTTTGAATTCCAGATTCACGTAAAAATATTTATTTGAGACAGAATCACCATGTTAATAATTTCAGCTTCGTTTAATGTTCTTCTCTATGAAGCGTTCTCTTTCTGCTTAGTGGAAAACGGATAGAGAAGTTGGCCAATTGACCGTTCTATTTCCGTTTTTTGTAAATGCATCTTTTGGGTGATCCATCATTCCTCCTCGTCAGATGCACACCAATAACAACGGCTGAATGACCATTATTTTCTAAAGTGAAATCTATGGAAGGATGACATGCATTGAACGAATGTAAACTTTAAACTAACTCAATATTCTACTCGCGAATAACAAACATGTCGTCCATATTTATTTAGAATAAACAAAATCGACTGGTGGTCGAACTTAGTCAGTCGTTTTTCAGCTTAGACATGAAACAGTCCTCTAAGAATGAGTCTTAAGCGGATTCTATTAGGATCCCATCTCGTTGTCTGTATATTTCGTTGATAAAACTGAAAAGGAAACTAAAGGTACAACTCAACAATAATTCGTTCAAGTGGTTATTCGTAAAGTCTACATTTATGTTGTTAGAATCAATACAATCACACATGTAGCATACAGTTTCAGTTAAAGGTACACTGGCGAAATAACATCAATTGGGAACATGAATTTCCCTGAATTATAAGCCTTTATAATCCTACCAATAAATTGAAAAGTACCATGAAAAGAATATTTATATTCTTGTCTTCTAAGTGCTTCCAATTTATCAGCCAGTCATTAGGTGATTCGGTGGTAGGGTGAATTAGATATATCGAAAATAGGTTTATGTAGTTTCGGTAATTCATATAAGCGTGAGATGATTGAACCCATTGGACGCTTATGATCATGTAATTTCAGGGTTACTATCCTCTTTTTTCAGTTTTCTTGCAAACATTAGTAAGCTATTTTTCAATTTGTGATGTTTTATCCATTTCTCCTTTAAGTTTGGAAAATTTAGTATCAGCCTCTAGAATTTACAGCTTATTGATCAACTAATGTCCTTTGTCAGGTTTACTTAGGATTAATTCCTTATTTCTTTCCATATGATTTTTAGTTAATAAGTTGTTATGACTAAATTGTGTTTGTTAATATATCCAATGACAGTAATCAAGCACTGTGGATTTAAAATGCTTAAATTCTTGTGGAGATGTTGAAAAGAGATGAGTTTGATTAACTAGATATTCAAATTGTATTGGCGTATGAAGTCCATTAGTTTTAGAGGTGCTATTCCAGAATTTAGAACCCACCGACAAGGCCTGGATTTAGGTTGACGAAAGTGTGATAGAAGAGTGATTGAAGACATATTTTTCGGGATTTTAAGAAAACTTATTACATATATTTACGTGCTTCAATGTTACCAAGTGTTGAAGTGTAGCTCTGTGTGAGTCCCTTTCAATGACAGTAAAAACACAATCCTACCATCGTCTACGTTCACATAACGACAGTTCATATAACAAGTGACCTCTGAGAGATATGTTGCATTCTAGTTCAACTAGTCGAAATTTAATAGCATCGATACGATTAAATGAATGACGTTTCGATAGTTTTAGCATTTGTATCAATATGATTTTGCCCTAGTGCCTTCCAGAAACATTTAGGATAGCCATTACTCACGATAGAGTTATATGAACAAAGAATGTTTGTTTCAGTTATTTTTCATTAGGTTCTATAGTTATAAATCCGAATGTCATCCAAAGGTATAGCCACAACTTTAAGATAAATAATTCTTTAAAAATTACGACTAAGGAGTTTAGGTTTCTTGGTATATCTCAGTAAAATTTCAATATGCTAATTATTTTAACATAAATTTTTATTCATAACTATGGATACTGATGAGAATTGATTGTCAGCAATGTTCCTTATTCACATATATATCTTTTAATATGATGGTCTTTTAACTTCTATGTTTTCATACTACAGTTTAACTTGATACTTTCAAATAAATTAGGGATTTGGTAAAAAGCTAATAACAATATTATGGTATATTCATAATATCCCAGTCAGTCGAAATTTGAATTTCTTTTTGTGACTTAGTGTAAACTATTGTTTCAGAGGAAATAAATTAATAACCGAATTAAGTTAATCATCTCTGCTTATAAATTAATACAAGTTTGAATAGTATAAAGGAACAAGGTAGAATACGTTATCAACATCGTTTAAAATTTTTGGTCAAGCCATTTCAATGTGAGACCACACTGTGTATCTGTGTATACCATTGTGAGTATGAAAAATGCGCGATATGAAGAAGAGTTGAACTTCATGTGTGTATGTGTATGTAAAATTTATGAGAAATGAGAAAAGTTAAATGTCGTTATTTGTATAAACAGTTCAAAATGAATGAATAGTGAGACCTTTTCTTATGATGAGAGAACTTAGAATATTATAAAACGCATCAGCTACTCTTCTTTCTTTTTAATTAATAAAATCTTTCGGAATTATTTTGATATTTTTGATATCAATTTAGTGATTGTTGAATAAAACATACATTGCCGATTTGTAGGTTTCCCAGCTCTACAGGATTATTAGATCATTTTGTAAAACTTAGTTAAATAGATCGTTAGAAGAATGAACTTATATCCCATAATTGTCTACATTTCTATTCCTAAATCTATGGAAACTAAATAATAATCAAATGGTTGATTTAATAAAATGACACGTTTTAGTGTAATGAACTTATGAAAACTCTGATACATAAAACAAAATCATAGAACTTCAGAACATCAATATGACTAACTACAGACAGTATTATAAAGAAGTAACTAAGAGTAAATTGTTTGTTGTAAAAAAAACTCAATAATATTGAAAAGTTACGAATTATTTTTTGGAAAAAAAGCGCAATTTTGTATTATGCAAACAAACAAATCTTGTTGTAATTTTTCAAAAATATTAAACTTCTGTAGTTTAAATCATGAACTGTGATAAGTTAGGTCATCAGTTTAAACTGGAAAGCACTAGACACTTATTCCTTCTTAATGTGGGCTCTTTAACAATCCATATCCACGAACTCACCACAGAAAATCAAAACTCAGGACTGACAAAGAACACCATAATAGAATAATTAAATTATCCATTGCTTCCAGATCTTTAATGGTGGTCTAGTTAAGATCGGTTCGTGATTTAAGCTATAAAAATCTAACAATCTCCACAAAACTCTATTCTAATAAAAATACAAACGTATCAAGAATTATGAAGATTCGTCATACTTATAAAAGAAAATTCTATTTTAAAAGATTCGGACAGTTTATGTCAATATCAGCTTACTAATGAAATGAGGTCAATACAACCAGTTTAAAACAACAACTTCCTGCATTAATCTTGGTGTATGACTTTTATCAACAAAGGTGATTTGAGATTGTTCACTTAAAAGCTTACTTACATTACAAACTTGAATTATCTATGAAAGCACTGAGCTAGATTATTCACAAAATCACAAATTTATCAAATGAAACTTTATATTAGTAGTTTTTTTATTGTTGCTTAAAATTCATTTTACCCCGATTTCTTCCATTATTAATGGATAAGACCAGAAGCTTTATATCATATATCTTGGTTTGATCCTACCTGTAGTCAGTAACAATAAAATTAATCCTAGTTTACAATAGAGTACAAGTAGGAATCAAATATATTCTGAGGGAGAATTGTCGAGTTCTGACAAAGAAAAAACATCACTTGTCGATTTACAACAAATGAATCTAGAATAATCCTTTGAGAATTCGCATTATACATATTTAATTTGTAATTAAATGATTATTGTTTTTCAAGGTAATACGGCATGCTAAAACACTATCTTATTATTCCCATACGTTATGCTTTGAATTACAAAAACAGTTTGATATTAGTTAAATAACAGTTAATTTGGTCTTATTAGATATATACATATCCTAAGAGATTATTGTGTATGAATTTATAAACGTCCTACTTCTACTTTTTTGGGGCTCTATTAGAGATTGATAATCTTCAACTGCTTTAATTCTGTTGTAATGGTCAATATGGAAAGTATTACTTATTCGATTACTGAAAAATGTCTACTGAGCTTATAATCTTTTTTGATTCACTAACATGAAAATAAGTACATCATTATAGAAGAAATAACGAGAAATAAGTATCAAATGTGTCAATGATTTTTTAAAACAGAAATAGAACTTACTATTTTCCAGAATGTTGTATTTAGTAGTCCAACTTGTACCAATTGAAATGTAGTACAAATCGAATCAGGAGGCCATGGAACTTGTTCCATAACATTAAGTGAATAGCATCCAGGTGGTTCAGTACGAAATGTTACTTGGAAATGTTTTGTATAGTTATAGAATTTTGAAATGGCATCAACCCTAGAATCCCATATGATTCCAGATTTAAGTTGACAAGATTTAGTTGCTCCTTGTACAATATTCAATTTAGAATCTGTTTTATAATACTCTGAATGAAGATATTTGGTTTGATGTTCATTTAAGCATATAGTTACTGCTGGAGGAGGAACACCATCTTTTGGACCTCTTTGATCTAATCGAACAACTGTTACATAAGTTAAATATTTATGTATGACTACACTAACAGAGCTAACTAATGCTATCACCATACATGTTGCAAAAAGAGCCCATAATGCTTTAACAGCTCTATTACTATTGACAAATGTTCTAACAACTGGTGTCCATCCAGTTAAGAATTTTGGTTGCTCCATATTAAAAATTGATTAAAATTTATTTGAAAAACGACTAAATAGATGACATTTATAATAAACATCAAAATATACTTTTGTTTTTCTGAATTTATTCAAATGTTATTGTACAGAGAAAACTTGTGATATGTTATATCTGATCTGATGATATGCATAATGCCTTTAACTGAGTAAATTTTTTTTTTGTAAAAAAAAGATGTCTGTACAAGAATAAATAGTTTGATCAGAAATAGTTTCAATAAACCATTGAATTTCTTTTTATCATTTAATTGTTTTAGAAAATCCACTTAAAACACAAGTTTAAACTACATGCATTCACAAGACAAAACAAAAAACTACGTACATGTAAAATAAATTTTTATATCTAATTTACAATAATCGTGGTAGTAAAATAAATTTCCTGAATTGTAACAACTACAACAACAATAACAGTAATAACATGTAAGTATGTGTCGTAGATACGTGTGTGTATAACAACTTCGATTAGTTGGGTCAATAAATTTGGACTAGATTTGTTTCTCCCACGATCTTTCTTCCCTTAAATATTAAACCAATCATAAACGACTTCTTATTTATTGCTTAGGAATAGAGAAATTAAGGCAAAATAGTTTATAAGATACCTAGTTACTGTTTAGAAATATATTGAGTATAATATGAAATAGTAATGTTTTTTTCGTGTTTATCTTTGATTATATGATCTTTTTGCCGAACTATGAGAACTATTGGGAAAAAATGTGTTCTAACATGTCTATTCAGATTTTAATATGCAATACTTAAGTTAAAATAATAAGTCTAGTAATTTTATTGTATGTGCGATTCAAAGTTTTTAATCAGAGAGAGGTTTTGTGGATACAGTAATTTTAAGAATTGAATTCATGAATCATTTCAAGCTAGACCACCATTGAAAACCCGAACGCACTGGATGGCCGTTTCGTCCTATCGTGGAACTTCTCAGAAGTGCACATCCACGATCCCGCTCGCAGGATTCGAACCCAGGGTCTTCACTCTCGCGCGCGAACACTTAACCTCTAGACCATTGAGTCGGCATTGAACGGTGTTAATGTCTAACCTCAACTAATCTACAAAGTTGCGGAACCAACTTCCAATGTACTGTGGTAGATTCCTGTCTCTGCTCGACATAGATTAGCTCCACTGGTCACGGCTTCTCGCTAGAACTCCGAGAATGATGAGCACATGTTAATGATCAGTATAAGGTTGTGGAGATTATTAAGCTTATGCTTGAATAAAATATAAATTTAGAAGTACTAAGCTAAAAGCTATGGCTTAGACTAAATTCTCTCTTTTTCTTCATGATATTAATACATTATAGTTTGAAGTAACACCAAGAAACTCACTACTGAAAGTGTAGATTTTTACCCTAAATCAACTTTACGAGCAAATTTTGATAACATATTCATTACCGTTTGTATACGATATATTAATAATTTTCTGTCTTTAGATACTATCTTTAAAATGCTTACAATAATGACTACATTACAGACCATATGCGGAATTACAGAAATTTCAAATGTTTGAATAATATCACTTCTGAGTATACCTAAAAATCTTTCCATTCTAATACTTTAAATTTTACTAAAGATTTATACTACGAATCATTAACACGGTACCATGTTGATCACAACTTTTCTACTACTTATATAATCAATTTCATTACTATGAGGATGTAAACAAAAAAATAGATCAAGTAGAAAAACTACCTTACAAATCAGCAGATTGAGAAGCATTCATATATATGAAGAGAAACAAGTCCAAGACAAAATTAAGGAAAGACCGTTCAGGTGGATACAACATACATTGTGGAAATCACTAAACTACATCACGGGGTAAGCTCTGATTTGTAATTTTCATGTCTGAAGGAAAAGAGGCAAATCAAAGAATACATTGTGTCGAGAATTGGAGGTAGAGATCAAAAGAATGAATAGCACTTGGAAACATCTGGGAAGGATTGTCCAGAAAAGAGTTCGGTGGAGAATCCTGTTGGGAAGTCTGTACTCCTCCACGAGCGGTGATAGGCGTAAATATCTAAGTAAATATGTTTTACATCAATCAGATCTTAATATTGAGCAACTATTTTCCAGATAGTTACCCTCCAAGTATATTGGAAGATAGTAGACCAACTTTTAAACATACAAATACTAACAGTTTAATAATATTTTTCTTAAGTATATATATAATTCTTTCATAATAATAGTGACATTTGATATTTCTTGAACTATTATTTAAAAAATTAAGTTAAAGACTTTGATAGTTAAATCCATTAGTTGATGTAACCTAGATCGCCATGGATTCAACTCTTAAAATCACTTCAATCTCCATAAATCATCATCCTAATAATAAGTTAAAGACATTGCACAAAATATTCCAATATCTTATAACTAAAGCTCTTTTGCATGGCATGTTATCCGTTGATTGAAGTTATAAAATATAAGGCTTTATTAAAAAATATCGTACTTCTTTTAAATGAAGCAATCTGTAAAATATATGAAATACCACTTACCTTTATCTACTGGAAAATGAATGTTTCTCAAAATGCTAGTCGTGATTTTTATCACAAAACGGATTCGTTGACCTGTCTCAGACTTTGTCAGCCATTTTTTTCTAATGTCTAAAAGTATTAATCATATGTATATAAAACTTGCTGACTTCCTATAAGTTAATTTTTAAGATAAATGTTCACCTGATATATTCTCGGTTTAATCACAAAAACATGGTAATCTATAAAGTTTTGTGAACATTATAGATGAGGTTTCCAGAAGCTATACGAAAAAGCTGTAATATCTAGTGCTAAAAACGTAGAGAATAAAACATATACTGAGTGTGCAGTTGAATAACCTACTGTAAAACATTAACTTATTAGTAAGCCGGTATCGTAATTGGTAGTGAATTCTATTGTATATGTTATTGAATAGTAATTTCTAATCAATCACTAAATCAGAAGAAAGAAGTTAGCCAGATTTCTCCGTTTTTATTTTTTAAAAGAACAATCATCTGGTTGATATAAATTAATTAGAATAGTTATCTCACAAAGAAACGCCATGTATCACCTAATCAAACGAAAGTATTAGAAAAGAACATTGAAATTAATCTTCCAACATTTACTTATTAAAATTCTTCCAAATAATGATCAACTAATAATAGGCCGTATATTTGTCAAATGAAATGTAAAATATATTTTTAGCCTCAATAGACTGATAACAAAAGGTAAGAGAACTTTCAATTATCTTTTATCTTCAATTTTTCTCCTAGTTAAGAATAAATCTTTATTTTTCTTTCTTTTTTGTATATTTCTCTCTCCCTCTCCTTCAATAAATAATAGTTGAGACTTCTCTTTTATTTCATATATTATCTTCAAAAAAAAATACAACAATGAACTTTTAATTTAAACAAAAATAAAATTTTTTTAGTCATTGTCATTATATTCAATCATACTATATATTCAGCGGCTTAATTTTATCTTGAAAAAGTTGAATTATCTAAGTAAGTTGAATACAACGTATTCCATTAAATACTTATTGAGTATTACTTTGTTTTTATTTTTTTCAAGTACTAAGCCTCTATGTAATTTAAAAACTTTAAAACAATGTTATTTGTTTTTAAATGGATTTCCTTTAAAGAAGAAAAAAGAAGAGAAAAACATGAAGAAAAACTACATAGCATTTTATCAATTCCATAAAGAATATACACAATCATCTAAGCATGCAATTTGAGTAATTATGTCATGTTATCAAACTCTAATGAAAATAAAATAGAGATGATATTGGTTTATATATTTCCAAAGTATTCTGTTTTAATATATCTGATCTAACGTTTGCAATTATATTTACAATGAGTAAATTGTCAATGTACTGAAGATCAGTATAGTTTTACCATTAATATTTGCATAATTAAAAGATGTTAGTCGGTGAGACTGTAATTTATGGACGAGCCAATCAGAAGAGTTTGAGGGATTTTAAGGTCACAGTGACAACTTCAGTACTTAATGCTAACGTACGATCGGTTCACTGGGGATTTTATACAAAACGTGATAAATGAGCGGCTATAACAAATAGAATGGCTAGACTATAATTTGTGGACGAACCAGTCAGATATAAGATAGCAGATCTTGGCTAAATAGAATTTCGGCATTATAGCTGATGTCAGTTCGTGATGAAAACTCTATATATGATTCTTAATTAAAGCAAATTATGACAATTATCGCGCACTGGATAATAAAAGCACCAGTAACACTGGCTGCAGCCAGGTACTACAATATATACGGATGATTGGAGGGTGTACAGACTCCTACATAGGCTTGGTCATGTACATCGTGTCGTTATCCACAAGTAGCATTTTGTACACTCAACAACCGGAGTGCACACAGACAATATTGAAGCTATGTGTTCGAGGCTGAAAGAGCTTTTGCGACCTTATCATGGCTCCAAACGCCGAATATTCTGTAGCCGTATGGATGATTTCCTCTACTACATCCATCATGATTTTAGAACCTCTGAACCTCTTTCTAACCTTGACAAGTTTTTGAACCACGTATAAGAAGTGTATCTACTTCATTTCTTTGGTTTTTATAATATATTTTTACTTTATACTGACTGCTTGCTGATTCGCTAATATTTCTCTCACAAGGTCACTTATGATTCGTTCAAAGGTTGTCCATAAATAATAATGTCGCCTGTTAATCTGTGTTTTCAATACTTATGTTTTTTATATCTTTTGGAAAACATGAATCTCAGTAGCTGAGTAAGTAACGCGATGGTGTTTGAAGCGATCGGTACTGGATTTGAGTCCCAGAGTGAACATCAACTCTGAGATGCAGGTAAATCCAGCTGACGAGGCCCAAATAGGAAGAAACGCGCATCCTGGGTTCCACTGCCAGCCACTATCCATCATTGCTTATAATAATTGTGTTTTAAGGCAATATCGAGGCTATACGTACAGTATGCACGTATGCCAATAAGAGACAGATCAATTGCAGTTTTAAACATAAA